TAGCAGTTTTATTGTGTTTATATATACATATAGACAATGTAGGTATGATGCATTGAAGTGTAGCAGTAAATTGAGCAAAGCCACCTCCAATGATCTGAGACTGGCCAATTAATGAATGAAAAATCTCCCATCAACAGATTCGGTCACGGCACTTTCATGGTGTGTTTGGAGAACATCTATAAGAAGATCATTGGCAAAGATCTGAAGTACGAGGCCCTCATGGGGAAGCCCAGTGAACTGACCTACCATTTTGCTGAGTTCCTCATTAGAGAACAAGCTGCTGAGAGAGGCTGGAGGGCACCGATCAGATCCCTGTATGCTATCGGGTGAGACACATGCACAGTGTAATGGGCCAGTGTGGATGTGAGAGGATTTCAAACATGAGCTTGCAGACGAAACACAAAATCTACCCCGTGCCTACACTGCTTGTTTAAAAAAAGTGTTGTTTTATGCTTAGGATATTATTTATCATATCCAGTTTGCAGAGCAAAATATATAGTGCCATGCAAATGTCTTAGGCGTGTTTGATTTTTCCATACATTCCTTTTTTTTGACAAATGGTCCACATACATATCTGATCTAAGAATCATCCAGTGTGTCTGTAATTACATGAAGAGATGAAACATCTTAAGACACTTGGAGAAATTTACCTGCAAAGCTACAGTATTGTGAAAAGTTTCAGGCAATTGTGGAAAAAAAAATATGTAAAATAAGCGTGTTTTCAAAAATAATGCCATAGACAGATTTTATGTTAAATTCTATGAACTACATCACTTCAGTATTTGATATGACCATCCTTTAGCCTTTAAAACAGTTTTGTTCTTATTAAAATTGTACAGTTTTTAATGTAGTTTTGCAAGTAGATTTCTCCCAGCATGAAATTTGCACACTGAAGGATCTAACGTTCATTTTGCACAGTACATGTCTGATCGTATTTATCTCATATGGGATTTTTGCTTATTCCATTATAGATGTGTCCAATCAAACATTAATCTCCCTTAAAAAAAAACAAAAAAAAACTTTCTGTGAATGGAGGAAGGAATAGTTCACCCAAAAAGGGAAATTTGTTGGCAATGTACTCACCCTCAGGACATCCAAGATGTAGATTTGGAGAAATATTTGTAGAAATGTAGCACTGCATCAGTGTCTCAGCAATGGATGCTCTGCAGTGAATGGGTGCCGTCAGAATGAGAGCTGATAAAAACATCACAATAATCCACAAGTAATCCACAGCACTCCAGTCCATCAGTTAAAGTCATGCACAGCGAAAAGCTGTGTGAAAGTAATAAACAAATTCATCAAGATGTTTTTAACTTCAAACAGTTGTTTCCAGCTAAAATATGAGTCCATAATTCATAACGCTTCATAAAGTGAAAAAGTCCTGTTCTCTCACATCAAAATCCAGCCACATATTTGTTTAGAGCTGTTTTGGCTTGTAAACGCGGCTTGATCTGTGCAGATTTCTTTCCTGATTCAGAACAGACCACTTTTCACTGGAGAATGCAATATTATGAACTTGTATTTTAGTCAGAAGCTAAAAACGTCTTAATGCTGGATTAGTTTCAGCTTGTGTCTTCTCCAGATGTTAACTGATGGACTGGAGTGCTGTGGATTACTTGTGGATTATTGTGATGTTTTTATCAGCTCTCATTCTGACGGCACCCATTGCAGTGCTACATTTCTACAAACCTGATGAAGACACAAACTCATCTGCATGGCATCAGGAAAATCATTTTTGGGTGAACTACTCCTTTAACATATTTTTGTGGACAGTAATATTTAGAGGGCAAGCACAGAAAGTTTGTAGATATCTTTTAGTTTTCTTGCTGAAAGGCTATTGCCCTCTAGAACCGTATAGCAGAAAGCAAAATTTGATGCCATTCTTGACTTTTTTACTCCTCCTTTCACTTTATTTCACTGGTGTAAAAATCATCAGAACATTAAAACGACATAACCACTGGAAACATGACCGGTGAAGTCATTCACAAAGCAACAGCTGTGCTGCGTTGATCTTACTCTTGCAAACATCTCTTTCCTTATGCAATTTTGAACAACTGAATAAATACATTTATGAATAAAAATAATAAACAGTGTTGTGGGTAACGCATTACAAGTAACACGAGTTACGTAATCAGATTACTTTTTTCAAGTAACTAGTAAAGTAACGCATTACTTTTTAATTTACAAGAGAATATCTGAGTTACTTTTTCAAATAAGTAACGCACATTACTTTTTTTTCCAGTTTATTGATTTATTGTCCCCATGTTGAGAAATCAGAAGATGTTACTGTAATTCTAAAATAAATATGAATATGCATTAATTCATCTCACATCTCACAAAAAAAAACACAGATTCAGTATTCCTCAAAATGATTAAAAATAATGCAACTCAGAATATGACGCAAACCTGCAATAATTAAATGTTAAACAACACAAATATCCTTTATGTATTTAATCCCATTCTATTAACCAATGTCTTTGCTTCTGACCTTCGATGATCAATAATCGCAATTACAATTTCAATGGAATAATCGACAATTATGATTTTTGTCATAATCGTGCAGCCCTAATCTGTTGCTAATCTTCTATATGCAATTAGGGACAACCTGATGACTGATATTTATGGTGCTAACCTCTACAACCGCTACCTCGATGAACGGATGGCCAGGAAGTCCACCAAAGCAGTGGCGAACATGGTGACTGGAGCAGGGACGCCCGCCAGCGTCCCTCAGGAGGTGGACATGGACAACGGCTGGGAAAGTGAGCTTGCGTCGCCCTCCGCCACGTCCTGCAAGTCCATCCTGGTGTGCACAGGCGTCTACAACCCCCACATGGACTTACCTAAAGACGCCAGCCAGTGCATCAAAGAGACCGTCTTCCACGGCCACCGCGACTTCCGCTTCGACCCGGCTCTGGTGGAGCCAGAGAAGATCGCCGAGGACGTGGACGCTGCTGTCGAGCTCATCTTCGAGATGGAGAAGTTCGTAAATACAGTTTAGTGACGTCAATATAGTGATGCTATTGATTTAATATCAACAGTCTGTATGAATCCGCCTTTCCATTTTAGTACGTGTTTTATGGAGAAAACCTCCACAGATGAGCACAATGCATAACTGAGAAAACAGGAGCGGTCATTAAAGATCCCGTGGCATTTTTAGCTTTACTGGATTGCATGATTTCATTTTAACTGTCAGGTGTTCGTGGTCCAACAGTATTTTTTCAGAAGCTCATGTGCATGTTCTACTCTCTAGTGTGAGTCGAGAGGCTAGAGAGGTCATGAAATACACAGTGTTCCAGCTGTAGACTGATGTGGGGTGATTAAAATAAGGGCAAAACTGTGGCAGAAACACAAAATGGATTGAATCTGTGATCTTCTGGAAGCGGTTTTCAGCTCCGACAGCTACTCTTCTGCACCCCTGGATTGCAAGGGCTATCAGTCTGCCTTTTTTAATAGACTGTGTCCTAAACCAGGGATCCTCAAATCTGGCCCACAAGATCCACTTTCCTGCAGAGTTTAGCTCTAACCCTAATCAAACACACCTGAGCAAGCTAATCAATGTCTTCAGGATCATTAGAAAATCACAGGTAAGTAAGTTTGATCAGGGTTGGAGCTAAACTCCGCAGTGCATTGGCAAGATTTGGGGAACCCTGTCCTAGACCATTAGTACTTTTATTATTTTTTTCACAGTTAGTTTAACATTGTTAAAATCATATTACAGTAACTTGCCGTTTTAGCATTGCAGGTCCCATAAATTCTACCATTTTTATAGAGTTGTTTATGTAATACCTCATATTAATTCAACATGTTCTGTATTGTTACTTTCGTTGTGCCATTATTACATAGGTAATTGTTTCATTGTTATGCCTCCATTCTTTTTTTTTTATTAGGTTATTTATGTTTGTTTTGGTTACTGTTACACTGTATCATAATGGTGAGATTTGCACTGAGACAAAACAACCCTTAGAAAATAAAAGCCATCCACTTGGATATATATTTTTTTTGGGGGGGGGGATTTTACCAGTAAATGATCTTGTGCAAGGTTTACAACTCCAATATACAAATCTTCTAGTTTTTGAGGTAGTTGTGACCATTAAAGACGTGTTTTTTCCCCCTAAATTAATTAAACATTTAAAACAAACATAATTCTGTAGTAAATTCTTAAAGTCTTACATACAAGTTATGCTGTGACAGTTTTATTGATAAAATAATATAAGAACATTTATTACCAAATACAAATTGATCATGTTTCTCAAAACATTTAACTGATTGACAAACAGTAAAATGCATAGTAATACCATGATGACAATACTAACAAACTACAACAATATTAAAAGGCACTATAAATTATCTGAAGAATGCTCGTCCAATGATCTACCTTCTAGTACATCTGTCTTCTTTCACTCATATACTTCATCAACAATTCTGTATAACGAAAAAGCTCATTATTTTTTTCCAAACTACACATTTGTGAAACTAAAGACTTGACATTCTTAAAGGCTGCCACCATACCATATCCTAAATATATATTTTGATTTAAAAGACGCATGTGTCGGTCAGTGATATATAAAAAGTACCAAACTGAGCTCTTAACCTTAAGAAGATATTGCAGGCAAATACAAAGACGCTATTGCATGTAAAATGGCTCTGGTTATTCATGCTTACTTGAGATGTAACAGCAATTGATGTTACTTACAAATTCATCGGTGCGATCTTCTCACAAGTTACACATGGTACAATATTATCAGAAAAATGTTTTTTTTGCAAGTTTAAAAAGATAGTTTATTATACTCTTTTATAATTTAACAAGGCTTTGTGGTACTAAATGAATGCAAAACTCAAAATACCAATGCCCATGTGACATCTATAATAAAATGTCAGTTCAAAAGGGTTGCAAGAACAGTCTGCATTTTTTAAATTTGCCAGTTTATAAAAAACGCATACGTTATCACAAACTAGTACATAATTAGAGTGTAAAGTAACCCATCATGGCAGCCGTTCAACACATTGTATTCAAACCAATTTACCCTAGAGAACTGCAGATGGCCACTCATTTACAACAGAACCTGGCTACCTTCATTATTGAATGCACTCTTAAAAAGGTTGCATTTTTCTTTAAATCTTAAAAACGTACTGAAAACATTGGCAAAATGTCTTCGGACCGTGGCTGTTGATACCATACTGAGAATTCAGGTCAGTCAAGTCAATGGAGAATGAGAGATTTCTGGTCACGAACCCAATAACCTCTACAGAAATTCCCTTCCGTGGAATAGATGTGTGTGTTCCGGTGCATATGTCCATTTCAACATTTTCACACTACCACTGCTGCATCTGCACTTGAAATCTTGAGTAGCTATAACATGTCGAAATATTGATGACAATGACTTAAGCCTTGCTGAGCCGTTGTTACAAAAGGTCTTGAAACGGTTACATAACTATTAGGAAGATTAAGCAAGTGGCAGTAGACCTTAGTCTGGCTAGACGACACATTTCATTTACTACAAATGGAATGCGAAATAGTTCAGTGTCGAATCTTAACAGCCGGTCCAACAAGCGATGGGATATTTTGTCAACAGCTTGGTTTCTATTTGTTAGTTGTATCTCTAGGAAGCCCCGCCCATTGTGAAATCTCATTTGTCCAAAGTCTTGCTACACATAACTGCACATTAAACATCAAACACGATCTGATTGGCTGATTGTGTCACGTCGCACAGCAATTTTGCGTTCAATGGAGAAACAAATTGTTTCTTACTGGGTTTTGAAAATAATTGAACAAATTTTGGCTGGTTATGATTTTTAAAAAAGCATGGCAATTTTGTGCTTGGCAATCAAAATGGTCTCTACCCAGCGTCTTCACTGTTACGTTCAACTGTAGGTGTCTTTTATAAGCCACTCCTAGAAATGTATCCTTAGCGTCTCCCGCTTCAAATTCAGCATCTGCCTGACAGGACCCAATTTATATAACTGCGTGAGTGGTAAGAGAACCAAAGCTTTTTATTGCTTCATCAACACCCACATCCCCAGCCCTCATTGGTCACATCCTTGCTGTTGAGTTTAAAGCTGTCCGTTACATTTTCAGTGAACATGGGCCCGCCATGTCTGAGAATGAGCTCACTGGCCATTTTGTTAAATGCCTCTTCCACATTGCTAGAGTCCTTGGCTGAAGTCTCGATGGCACTAACAAAATCCAGCTGATGAGCCATGGTCTGTGCGTCCTCAAGTGGAACTTCACGCAAGTCGGGCAAGTCTGATTTATTACCTGGGATGCAAAAAGAATTGAAGAGATTTAATCACGAGACTTTCCTAAAACAGTTTCTTTAAAGGAATAGTTCACCCCAAACAGCACATTTGCTGAAAATGTGCTCACCCTCAGGCCATCCCAGATGTAGTTTCTTCATCAGATTTGGAGAAATGTAGCATTGCATCAGTGTCTCAGCAATGGATGCTCTGCAGTGAATGGGTGCCGTCAGAATGAGAGCCGATAAAAACATCACAATGTTTTGGACTGTTTTTGCTCAGAAATGGTCCTTGATCTGGTCAGATTTCTCTCCTGATTCAGACAAGATGGACTTTTTCACTGGAGAATTATGGACTCGATTTTAGTTAAAAACGTCTTGATGGATTTGTTTCAGCTTTTGGCTGCACAAGACCTGATGGACTGTGGATTATTGTGATGTTTTTATCAGCTCTCATTCTGACGGCACCCATTCACTGCGGAGGATCCATCGGTGAGCAGGTGATGCAATGCTACATTTCTCCAAATCTGATGAAGACACAAACTCATCTACATCTGGGATGCCCTGAGGGTGAGCACATTTTCAGCTAATTTCAATTTTTAGGGTGATCTATTTCTTTAAAGCAATTACAATTCATAAAGGAAGCATGTCAGACACACTCTTTGCACTCACCAATTAACAGAGGAACAATGTTGGAACCCCCATATTTCTTCACATCCTCCATCCACTTGGGCACAGACATGAAAGAGGCTCTCTTTGTGATGTCGTAAGTGATGATGGCACCATTGGCGCTGCGGTAGTAACTCTGTGTGATCGTGCGAAACCGCTCCTGTCCAGCTGTATCCCAAATCTGTAACTATACCACAAATTATATTTATTGTATTGTACTACTATCGTGCCTATACATTGCACCCACTCTATATTAGGTGTCTTTTTGACGAATATGTACTTATTTACATTGAAATTGTATGTACAATGTTCTCATTGGTCACTAATTCAATCTCAAGTTAACAAATTACAGAATTGGTCATGCCCAACTCATCACTACAATGATGTTTGCTGTTGTTTATTGTAAATGGAAACCACATTTAGATAGTAAAGGATTATAAGTTGTGCAGAAACTAGGCAAATAATCTTGGCACGGTAAAAGACATTAGACACGGCCTCAACACGGACAATAAAAAGTGCTGACGTTCACTGAGTCAGCCAATGAAACACAGTGAGATTTCACAATGGAGTCCCATACTGGCTGAGCTAGCATCTGGACCAGTGTCACGCCGCCGCTAACAGGACAGTATTTAAGTGCTCACTACAGTACCAAATGAACACAAGCTCATTATTTGAAAGGAACCGGTCTATATGACAATGGCTTTACATTAAGCTCTTCATATAACATGGCTGACGGTTTTGTATGCAGTATCTATGAAAAACTGACGTGCAATGTGCAAAATTTGTCTGTTGCTTTGTTTCACAATGCTCTGACCTCTGTCTGCTCGACATTTACTTTTGACTCATATCGTATTTATTCATCTTTATTTGAAGCGCCTTTCCCAAGATAACACACGTACATCTGCAAGAGGTCTGTTAAAGGGGTCATATGATGCTGCTAAAAAGAACATTATTTTGTGTATTTGGTGTAATGAAATGTGTTTATGCGGGAACGTCTTATGGACATCTTCTAGACGTCTATTTGACATCTGATAGAAAGCGTCCTATAGACGTATTGCAGATGAGCAAACTGTCTAAAAAATGCGTCTTGCAGATGTAAATGCAGACGTCAAACAGGTCAAATACTATCAGGAAACAATATAAAACACAACCACAGTATTCACAACCACAACTTTAATCAGAGGTCAACAGAAAATACTGAGAGAAAAGATTAGTTTTTAGTTGAGATTTTACTAAACTACCAACAAAAGCCCAGGTAGACCTCCGTGAAGAGTCTCTTGTCAAATCCAGCAGAACCTACTGTCCGTGTTTTGGCTTATGCTTATGAATTTTCCAACCGTGCTATAGAATAATGCAGTTTAAATGTCCATTAGTCTCAAGCAGGGACAGTTTCAGTTAGACATTGTTTACAGCTTAGCAACTACCTTGGCTATTGCATAACTGTCCAATGACACTGTGTGCCAACTTTAAGCCCTAAAGCCAACAACCAACTTTACAGTATTTTCACTTTTATTCTTCCACGTCTTACGTGTCAACGTCGCAAGGAAACGCTCTTTCTTCCTTTTAAAATGGTTAACACGATATCTGACAAAACATCAAAGTCGCGGCAGTTATTATTAAAACTGCGATGCATTAATCACCTCTCAGCTTTACAAATTAACCACAAAAATAAATAAATGATTCGAATGAAACCCTAAATGAATGTGATAAGGCTTACAGTAATAACAATAAACGTACTAAGGAGATTTTTGGTACAAAATGTGGATTTATGGGGAAACTTATGTGAACACCGACAAGCTGTCGCCATGAAGAGAAACTTAAAGGGATAGGTCACTAGTTCGTATTTTGAAGATTGCTGGTAATCAAACAGTTGGTGGTTGCCATTGACTTCCATAGTAGGGAAAAAAAATATACTATGGAAGTCAATGGCAACCACCAACTGTTTGATTACCAGCAATCTTCAAAATATCTTCTTTTGTGTTCAACATAAGAAAGCAACTCATACAGGTTTGGAACGAGATGAGGGTGAGTAAATGATGACAGAATTTTCATTTTTGGGTGAACTATCCCTTTAATGAGCTCTATAACCATAAGACACAACTATAACGAGTAACGTTAGCTTGGACTGCAGCACTAACCTTAACCCGCTTCCCGTGTATTTCCAGCGTCTTCATGGTGAAATCCACACCGATCGTGTTCCCTTGTTTTTCGATGAATATCCCGGTCTTGAAACGCTGAACCACACAAGTTTTGCCGACACCGACATCTCCAACAAGAACGATTTTGAAGACTAAATCGTAGCTGTCGTCAGAGTCCAGCAGTGACATGCCGTTAGCCGTGCAGCGAGTGCTCACCTATAAACCGATAATCGGTGCCTCCGGTTGTTTCGCGAGGACGTGAGTGACGTGGAGAAACACACACACACACACACACACACACACACACACACACACACACGGCACCTGCACACTGCGGTAAAGTTGGTTTTATATTCACACATTCGGACTTCCGCGTTGAATAACTTTCTAATTTAATGTGCAATAAAGTAATTTTTTGCTAATTCTATTCAGCGACATGATTCTCAACCTACTACATTTTTCACAATCGATCAAAATGGACAAGTATTGTTTTAATGGCATACTTACCGGCGAACGTCCACTGAATGTCCAACGTAGCGTGGCAAACAAGATAGGGACCGTCTAAAAAGTTGTAATTTTTTTTCATTGTGTGCAAACAGACAGCTACATTTTAGCCAACTACAGATGTACCAGCAAATATCACTCACATTATGTCTTGTTGCTAAATATTCATCTGACCCTGTAGAACATACTACAAATCTTTAATGTACAATAATTTGCTTTATATGTTCAATTTCTACCATTACAGTATTCTATGGGGTTCTTCAATGGCACAGCATCCAGTTCAATAACTTTTGAAAAGAGGGTCACACAGCTCCAAAACAAAATGCTAAATATTTATTTGACCATAAAGAACATACTACATTATTTGCTGTATATGTTCAATTTCTATCATCACTGTTTTCTTCGGGTTTCTTCATTGAGACACCTTCTTCCAGCTCAATATCTTTTGAAGGAAGACACTGACTTACCCAGTACACATTGTATAATATTAATTTTACATTAAATAACACACTACAGCTTTTCATTGTAATTTGGTAACAATCCAGACAAGTGGAAAATCACCTGGAATCTCCTGAACATAATTAATGGCTTCATTTTACAACTGTTTTATTTATTTATTTGCTTCAAAATTAACAAGAACTGTGTTGGTGTGTTGGTTTTAACAATGATATATGATATACAGTATTTCAGTAGGTTTTGAAAGCATGAGTCGACTGCTCCAAAGCAAGTTGGAACATCTTGTTTGGACCCTACAGAACATACTGCAGCGCATGTCTCGCTGTTTTATTCACCTCTGTTTCTCTGGTTTTAAGTGTGATAAAGACTTAACAGTAAACAGTGTTCTACAGGTGTTCAATGAAAAGAATGGCTAAACTTTTATGCGTCCCTGTTGTATGACATCTTCATTTAATATTAAACTCTCACAATATCACAATTTATGTGCATTCATTGATGTTTACAGTCCTGCAAAAATATCACTGTCCATGGTACTAATTCTGTCAGATTATTGAAAAGTACTCAGAAAGCATGACAGCAAACAGGATGTTTATTTTGGGTGAACACTTTCAAAAACAAGTGGAAACATTCTTCAAGATGGTTTATAAATAATTTGCGCCTCACATATATATTCAATTTGTACCATCACTGTGTTTTATAGGTTTCTTCAATGACGCATCATCCAGTTCAATAGCTTTTGAAAGGAAGGACCCAGTGCTACAGTGCAAGTTGTAAAATATTTATTTGACCATAAAGAGCATACTACAAGTCTTTAATGTGCTATTATTTACTCTAGATGTTCAATTTCTATCATCACTGTATTCTATGGGGTTCTTCAATGGCACAGCATCCAGTTCAATAACTTTTGAAAAGAGGGTCACACCGCTCCAAAACAAAATGCTAAATATTTATTTGATCATAAAGAACATACTACAAGTCTTTAATGTGCTATTATTTGCTGTATATGTTCAATTTCTATCATCACTGTTTTCTTCGGGTTTCTTCATTGAGACACCTTCTTCCAGCTCAATATCTTTTGAAGGAAGACACTGACTTACCCAGTACACATTGTATAATATTAATTTTACATTAAATAACACACTACAGCTTTTCAATGTACTATTATTTGCTCTATGTGGTCAATTGACACTGCCAGTGTGTTGCATTTGATTCTTCTATCCAGTTCAATAGCTTTCAAAAGGCTCAATGGACTGTTGCACAAATCTGTCCTGAAAGAGGCGTCCGCCACTTCCTACGCAAAAGGTATATATAAATAATAAAAATAATGGGATATATAAAAACAAACTTGACGGGAAAATTAATAAATTAATAAAAGTAATAAATTAATGAAGTAAACAATGATTTTAAACTCTATTTTCATGTCAATATACACATTTACATTAAATAAACCACTCTCATTAATGGAGATAAGCA